TTAAATCGTATAATAATAGTCTATGGGTCAAAATAAAAGCTTTTAATAAGAGGAACATGAATAGTTTAGCTACTTAATAATTATACAATAAAAATATACGTTTAGTGTTAGTCCAGAAATAGATCCCAATAGTTACTATTCATTATTCTCATCAGGATATAACAGTACCCATCTGTATTCACTATATATAAGTTATATTGATGAATCGTTTTTTATTTCTTTCCTTATATTATCGATTTTAGAGTTTGTATAGTAATGTCATAGTTGTTGGTGGTAACAGCTTAATCACTGGATTTACTGATAGATTACAACGAGATTTAAATATTAAAACACCACCGGTATGTTTGTATTTATTTATAGAGTAATAATAATATTATTATTATTACGTAATTTAGAGTATGAGATTAAAAGTTAACTTTCCTAGTACAACAGCTGAACGTCGTTATTCCAGTTGGATTGGTGGTTCTATTCTAGGATCGTTAGTAAGTAAAATGAAATGTATATTCTATTAGATTTTTATCTTTTATGTATAGTATTTTATTCTGACTGAATTGTATTATATATCTATTATAAGTATCATCAGTATTGTTGGTTCTTATTTTAAATGCTGTTAAATAGTGAATGAATTTCAAAGTTGTTTGATGTGGATATTTATGAAGGTTGACTTATTTATCAGAGAGGGTTTATGGAGATTTTAGAAATTTCACAGATTGAAATCATGAGTCAGTTGAAGCTTGGATTGGTTGAAGTTAGACATTAACACCGTCGGATGCCGGCTTAGTGGTCTAGTTGGTTAAGCGCCTGGCGCGAGACTGATAGGTCCTGAATTCGAATCTTGCGGGGTGCGGAGTCGTGAACACGCACTGCTGAGGAGTCCCGTGCTAGGACGAAACGGCCGCCCAGTGCTTCCAGGTTTCCCATGGTGGTCTAGCTTCAATTGACTCATGATTTAATTCTGTTAACTTGATTATCATGAAAAAGTTATGGGTTAATTGTGAATTCTAATTAGTGTATACTTATGATATGCACCTCACATTGAATCCAGAACATTTTAGGCTTCTCGATCAACTATTCATCTTTAGATCATTTAGTTGAAAACCAATTGGATCCATATTCCAATTTAAACCAATTCGGATTTAGTGGAGTTTAACTGTGTAGAAAATTTGGCAGTAGTAGTTATATACCAATCAGATAGGATGGTTGTCGGACTGTCACGAATTAACTCAAATCGGAAATATGTATTCATTAAACTAGTGATTTCGCGCCAATTCGGTGTTCCTTATTAAAATGACTTTCAATAACCCCTTAATTACATGACAAAAAACCATAGAAAATTTCGTCCTCATGTTTTTCTGTTTGTGATACTTCTTATCACACTAAAGTCAGCCAGTTATACGCAAAGTAGAACCTGACACATATCTCATTAGCACAGAGTGATGAACTTATCAAGTAAAAAGACCTCAGAACAGTAGAGGTAGTAACAGTATTAGTGCTAAGAGAAAAGATTAGGGGTCGAAAATGCTATTTGAGAAAGAAATATAGTTTAGTGAAATAGTAGAAAAAGTTATGAGGAATTTACGAACTTCGAATATCAAGGAATAAAAGGAGTGAATGCACCTGCTTCATTGTGAAAAATTCTGAACTATGTGACTCAAAGTCTAACAATTGGTTACGATAATCATGCAAACTGTAACGACGTAATCTGCAAAGACCCATCTATATGGCTCAGTCCAATAGTTAGTACTTTCATGAAATGGTGTCATATCTTGGTTTGTCATCCTCTAACATTCTTCCAACCTACTTCTACACCAGATAACATTGTGTGTCGATGTAGGTGATAGATGGATTGGCATATGTAATACATATCCCAACCATCTCAGTCGATAAATATTCACTACTTCTTCAATCGATTTACCATATTTATCTAGTACTGTGGGTCTAATTTCAGGACTGTTAACTCGATGGTCCCAAAATATACGAATAATTGTTTGAGAGCATCTATGATTGAATACTAATAACTTCCAAGTACCCCCTATTTTTAAAAGCCACGTTCCACAGCCGTTGAATGAATATTTAATTTGTTTTTTTTCTTCGATTTTACAGGGTACCTTCCAACAAATGTGGATATCTAGTCAAGAATATAACGAATTAGGCAAAGGATGTGTGGATAAAAAATGTGCTTAAGAAGAGCATATATTTATTAATAAAATTCTTTTTTTACCCATCTTACATGTATTTTACTTACTTACCTTCATTCCCACGCACTGTGTGTGGTAGGGTCTATTAACATGTATAATACAAGTGTAATCTGCATTTCTTTGTAATATATGTTTACATATTATCTATCTTTTCTGTGTTTACCTCTTCAACGGAGTTTAGTTCGACTTATCATGAGTAGTCGTACTCTAAGTGCATTCTTTGCATTTTGTTAGTAAAATTATATATTTACCTATGTTATGGCAACTTAGGTCAACTTAGATCTGTTCCAGGCTCTATTTTAATAATGATTGATACAGTTGTGCTTCAGTATAAAAACAACAATCGACTTAAACATTCTAAGTTACAGGTTCAAATTGCTATCTCCATCTACTTAGTTTAGGTCAGATAAGTAGTATTTCTATAAATGTGGTTTAAACTCGCGTATGTGATTTATGTGTTCGAATACTTATAAGCAGAGATGGATGATGGCTAGTAGTGGATTTCAGGGCGTGCGTTTTGTCCTGTTTGGGACCCGTCAGATGGGTATACATGCATCTCAGAGTTTATGTTTACTCCGGAACTGGAACTCATTACAAATGAATTCAAATAGAGTTGTGTCAAAATTTAAGCTAATCATCTTTTCCGAACAGGCTTGACGTTTTTTTGTCACCGATTTACATACTTAAGCAACTGAAGATATCATACAGAACGTAAGCCGTGCTTGATTTGTCTGTGCATTGAACCACATTTTCTTTCATTAATGAGTTATGTTCAATGAAATCCAAGAGTATGTGTTCATTCAGCTGGATGCTTTTAATTACGAAGATTCATTTTTAGTTCTGTGCATTACCTCAGCTGTTCTACTTCGTGTGTAAAAGTGAAGAATTAAGATCACTTCTATGTAAATTAGGTGCTCATAAGATTTTGTCCATAGAGTCAATATACGATTTGCGACTAAACCGTTTAGCTCAGAGAACATATCAACAGTAAAAGTATCTATCTGTGCTGCGAATTCTTCGTCATTATTGTATGTCTTCGGTTACACTTAAAACATTCATTTTCAAAGGTGTACATTCATATATATATGTATTTCTTAAATTGAAAGTCTCTTATAAGTCTTAGTTTAAAGTAGATATTATTAGTAATGCACTTAAAGTGATCTTGAAAGGTCGATTAGAAATACTTTCTACGCACCAAATCGTCGTGTAACTTATCATAGTTTCATTTTTATGCACCTCTAGATGAAAAAATCAGTTATATCAACCGATCAATTTTTGTATGTATAATCCAGGTCATCTACTTCTTTGAAGCTAAATACTTAGATTGTTCGTCTTAACTGCTTTACTGCGTAGAATGTTATCTTTCACCATGAATTGACGAAGAATAGCCTATAATGATTGTGTCACTTAGTCTACAGTAGCCTCAGATTCATCCTTTTATATGTCGAGATTCAGTCAGATATGTTGAGGGATTCACCACTAAATTTACTTTTGCATTGCAGAAGCTTTAGTGATACAGACATGGAGCATGTGGATGATAATTGTCACATTAACTTCGTTTGATATAACACTATTAAAAACCAAAGAGGTACTGGGAATTGTTTCGTCATAATGTGTTATTCCATAGAAATGCTTCTTTACAAACTCAAGGACCACACCTCAAACTTTGAAATCTTATTGTAGTTAGCATGTAACCTTTTTGGAAACTGAATTATCAATCCAAATTCAATTCATTTATGATTTAGAGTGACTAATGTCTAATAGTAATAACTAATACTATCTCATTTCCAACATGGTTGAACTCTTAGGTGCAATCCCATAGAGAGTCGTATGATAAAATAAAATTGATCAAATTACTCTTAAGTATCATGTGATGTGCTTTTTTCTTTTCCTGTTTCTAGGGGTAGAGTGTACTCTTGGAAGTTTTTTGTTTGTTTGTTTGTTTCAACATCTAGTTGTTTATTCTTTTATCTATTTTGTTTTCGTATATACACACAAGAAGCAGAAAGAAAAAAAATGGAAACGATATTTCTCAAAAAAGATTATCATTTCAAAATGATACTGATTTATTTGTTGTGGTTGTTGTTGTTGTTGTTGTTGAATTTAAACAAAGTTAAAGGTAAAGAAAAGAAAGAAGATAAGTATCCCATTTTGTTCTACTATAAAATAAAAATGTATTTGATTTCATAATGTAAACAAGTTTAATATTGAAACATTGAATGATTTATTAAATGCATAATAAAGATTTATTCATTAGTGAATGTTAATGTATATCACTCAGACAGTCAGTCAGTTAGCTACAACTTAGGATCAAGCATATATATATATGCATTGGTTCAAGTTGCTATTACCTCATTAGAATCGTACAATATAACTATGAATTGGTAGATAAAAGAATAGGATACTATTACTACTACTACTACTATTACTACTTCTTCTTTGCTAATCTTCTTTTCTTTAAGGACAATGAGTGAATGATTCGAGAAGAGAGAGAGAGAAAGAAAAGGTGTTAAGTTGAGTAATTTAATGATAAATTATTATATATTATAAAAAATAGGTGGGTGGGTAGGGGGGGTGTGTGTGTATGTAGGGAAGGGTACAAATCAAAATAGGCAGATAAGTAGGATTGAATAACAAAAGTCTATATGGTTGTTATTATTATTATTATTATTCAAAAGACAATTGATTGATTATTTAGGATCTTTCTTCATTGTTTACTTTTAAGATCTAATAGTTACTATGTATGTACAAATGGTCTAGGCAATAGATGATAATCTTGTATATATGTATATATATATATTGTTAAGATGATATTGTTTCATCATCTAATGGTACAGTTGTAGTATTACATGTTTCAAGGGTTTCAATTATTCCTGTGAATGTATCAGACATTTGATTTACATAAGACTAATTGATTTCCATTTTATATATGTTGATAATATAAAATAAAAAAGAAGAAAAAAACGATTATTATTTTGTCATCTTTTAAAGTTTAAATATTACCATGAAAAATATTTAAGCGTTCGCGCGCGAGACCGAAAGCCCTGGGTTTGAATCCCGCGAGCGGGATCGTGAATGTGCACTGCTGAAGAGTCCCACAACAGGACGAAACGGCCGTCCAGTGCTTCCAGGTTTCCAAAGGTGGTCTAACATCAATCGGTTTATGATCTCAATCAAAATTTAAAAATAAAGTTGTATCTATAGTGTTAGTTACTATGTTAAGTTTATCCTAACCTTTAGACAAGCTAATTGATTCATGCTCCTTGAGTTATGTTTTAACCTTTCTAATTATCCTCTGAAGGGGTTTTTGTGGATATTATAGTAATTTCAATGGTTGAAATCATCAGTCATTTGAAGCTAGATCATTATGGAAAACCTGGAAACATTGGAGGGCCGTTTAATTTTATTGTGAGACTCCTCCACTTATCAACCTTGACTGTTTTTATATGAGCGTATATATATGTGTGTACCCTTCCTATCCTATTCGTTACATATCTGTAGCTTACTTTCGTATGACCATAAATATTGATTAACTCTTGATTAAATGTAGTTGGCTCATACACCTCCACTGGACGTTATTTTCACTTCGCTCTCTCCTCTTCGATCCGTTCCTCTGATTATCTGTTCAGATCAATGAGTATACAAAATATGCGTATTCAAAACCAACATTCTCGTATTTAACTTATTTAATTCTGTTATTTACTAACACGAATTAAGTCGATAATTTTATACGAGGATTGGCAACTTGTAGTGTCGGTTACCTTGACGAATATCATTAAACGCACGGCCATTTTTGTATTTTTTAAATTGATTTTTTTTCTTATTTTCCAATATTTTTCTTTCCGTTTCGTTCAATTAAATTCGTTATCATTAGTTGTTTATTTCTTAAAATTTATATAAAATGTCAATACTTATCGACAGAGCACCTTTTTCTTCAAATTATGGACGATCGTAACGTACAACGTACAAGCTTTACGGTTTCTCACGTTGTCACAGAAACAGTTAACGTATTCTTGAATTACATTGTATCTGGTAGCATTCCAACCAATTGAAGCGTTAAAGAGCATCATCAGAAATGATTTAAGAGCTACGTACTGCCATTATGCGATGAGAGATTTTCATTTTCATCATGATCAGAAGCCGTACATAAAATTTGTATGTTGGAGAAATGGCGGTAGAATACCTAGCGATCCCTCATAGCCAATTAGACGAAGGAGGTAATTTGATTAGTTTTCTTGTATTTTTTCATAAAGGACTTCAATGAAAACTCAATGCCTGGCATTCATCTTTTGTAGGTTTATTGAAGGTTACTGAACTGTTGTTCGTGAGAATGTGAATCACAATCATGAGTGCGATTCCTTGAGGTACGACAGTAATTATTGGATACCCAAGTTAACGAAGGATGACTTTGAGATAGTGTGACCAATTCTGATTCCTTGGACAGTAGCATTCAATATTCTGCATTACGCTTAACAATCTTAGGGAAAGCGCCTGAATGCTCAAGATGTTTTAAACATGTTCCACAAAGTGTTCTCACAGGCCAACCTGTGCCTATTTATATTAGGTTAGATGATTACGCCAAATTGAAAGTTTAAATAATGTCGCTTGGTGGGCTTTGTGATTACCAATTATCCTGAGTATTTCTTCTTCACAACTGCTGAACAAATGAACGTATTAAGTCGTTTTTTTTATGCTGTCGTCTCTCTGATCGTTTGTTTCGATCAATAACTGTACAAAATATACGTATTCGGAATTCATTCTCTTATTTGACTTATTTTAATTCCGATTTACACTAACGCGATCTAAGTCGATAATTATATACGAGAATTGGCGACATGCATATCTCAATAGCAATCAGAAACGATCAAACTGGAGTAATTAGAGTCAGATAATGTGCTACAAAAGTATATTTCGTTCGATATGCTTCTGGATTAAATAACTGATTAATTTTTACAATCGAATTCGTGAGTTGATCTAAACTAGACCACCACTGAAAACCTGGAAGCATTTTAATCGACTAAAGTTTAACATTAACACAGTTGGATACCGGCTTAGTGGTTATATTGGTTAAGCGTTCACACTCGAGATTGAAGGTCCTAGGTTCAAGTCTCATGTGGATGTGCACTACTGAGGAGTCCACCCATACTAGGAAGAAACATGTCCAAAATTTCACGGATGGTCTAGCTGAGTTTGACTCATGAATTCAATTGTGAAAATACTACAATATTCATAAATCCCAATATTGAATATGATAAATTCATTTAAAAAGAATAAAAATGTTTCAGTGAAGAATTGCAATGTAAGTACTAGTCTGTGACTTTACACCTTATTGACTATGTTGTGATGTGAGGTGGACGTAATCTACAGGAAGCTCCTTATCTGTTTCGGGCTATCACACTCATCAGTAATGTGTACTGGGGTTAACCTAAAGAAACTGACGGTCGCTGAGTGATTTGATTCCGTATTACTTAGCTTCACAGTCAGAGATGTTACCAGTGAACTATTCGGACAGGGATTGACGTCACCATAGGACTGATATGTGTTTAAAATTAACTGATTACTAAGATGGCCTTAGATAACCACTAAAAACCAGCATACACTGGATATCGGTCTTATTCTAGCGATATGGTAAATCAATCAGAAGTAGCCTAATGAAAAGCCCAATCAATGGCAATCATAAGTGACCTAAGGGACAAGTGAATTTCGCTGGCTAAGACATGGAATAATTTCCTAAATGGTAGAGTTGTATATATATAAATGAGTATTTGTGCGTTTTATTCGGTAGCCCAATATAATCTCTTGCTCACTCTTGTGTTCTCGCTCATGTAGTCCGTTGGGGGAGGTTAGTGTGTAGCACATCGTGTATCAGTATCAAATTTCGAACACCGCCGTCACATCATCTACTATGAGAATCTTCACGAGCCCATCGGGGACTGAACTCAGGATTTTCAGTTTTTGTGATGAGTGTTTAAGTTTAGAAGAAAATAAGTGAAAACTGATGTGACAGAACGAAGACTGAAGAAATGGTAACTCTTGAAACTATCATTATGTATATTCTTATTGTATAAATGTTAAACAACTGGATAACTGTTTTTATATTACATTTATTGTATTCTTCTAGTTGATACACTGACGATTACTATTCACCTTAATAATCCTAATTTATTACGATTCAGTTATTTACAACTTATTCAATTCCATTGCCACTTTTCGCCCGTTTCTGTGTAACGATGATTCTCTACTTTATGGTGTGATATGGTCCAGTATACCTATACATAAACACGTGTATATTTGAGATGATAATATATAGAAGTTTGACTACTGTCTTCTGCTTACGAACTCAAGGCTGGGGATATGAGAAAGGTTTATGTATTGGCAGGCTATCTGAGGCTGAGCTTGCATTAGCTAAAGATTAAACATGTCGAATGAATCATATCATTGGTCGAAACTAAGGATACCGTATCATAAACGTAATATCATACAAGGCGTAGAAAAATTATAATCGGAATTCAGATTCGCTCATCGAGTAAATGATATCAATTAACGTTAGACAACAAAGATCAGTAGTTTAAAAGGTTTTAGAGGATCTGTCGTGTCATACGATCAATTGATTAATGTGGAGAATTGTTGGATGGTATATTCTAGTTGTCATAGTAACGCGTTTCTCATGAAAAATCACTTTCTCTTATTCAATAAAAACGTGTAGTTTCATGAAGATAGTCAATCTTCATCAGTATTTTGAATTTCATGTAGCATCATATTTAGATAACTGTCCAGGTTGTCTGATGAGGTATGAATTTTGGTTTGAATGCTCAAGTATATTTTATAATTATCAGAATGGGTTTTTTGGAGATTTTTAGAAATTTCACTGGTTGAAATCATGAGTCGATTGAAGCTAGACCACTATGGAAAACCCGAAAGCACTGAATGGCTGTTTTTGTCCTAGTATGGGGCTCCTCAGCAGTGCGCATCCACGACCTATCAGTCTCGTGCCAGGTACTTAACCAACTAGAGCACTGAGCCGGCATCCGGTTAATGCGTAACTTCAACCAATCCATGAAGTTGCGCCACTGCACACCATTGTCTTCAGTGAGTTCCAATCTCACAACAGACCTGGCTGAACTCCACTGGTAACGACTTCTTTATAAATAAACTTTAACTTTTAACATGTCATACGTTATAGGTTAAGTTCATCGACTGGCTTTACTTAGATGACCATTGAAAACCAGCAAGTACCAGACAGTTATTTTGTTCCTGTATAAGATTCATCATCCATGACCTGGTCAAAGCTTTCAGATATTTATATTAATAAACACGATTGTTGAATACACTATTTTCATTTTTTAGAAAAGGGGTTTTGTGGTAATAATTTAATAGTTGAATTCATAAGTCCATTAAAGCTAGACCACTATGGAAAACCCGAAAGCACTGAACGGCTGTTTTCGTCCTAGTACAGGACTCTTCAACAGTGCATATCCACGATCCCGCTTGCGGAATTCGAACCCAGGACCTATCGGTCTCGAGCACCTTTAAAACACTGAGTCGGTATCCAATGGTGTTAATGTCGATTCGATCAACCTATCAGAACATGATTTAATTTTACACGGTGCTTTGATTGGTTTACAGGAATTGAGTGTTTACAGCTTTTTACAACCAATAAAAACGCTGAATTCATCATGTTCAAATCCTATTGAAATTTTATGCATTAAGAATAATAATTTTATAATCATACATTGAACGTTAGAGTCTAAATATTATTGATAAACCTTCTTAATTCCGTATTCTTAATATCTATTTAATGAGAAGGGAAATTGAGAATTTTGAATATTATCAGGACACGGTAGATAAGTGGATAACTCGATAGTGTTTAAAGCGAACAGCATTGGGTTCGAGTCCAGCAGTGAATATATCAACTCTGGGATGCAGGTACGTCCAGCTGACGAGTCTCAAATAGGATGAAACATACGTTTTAAATTCCACTACTAGCCACCATCCATTTTTGCTTGTAAAGCTTGTGACTTAAGGCAATATCGAGGCAATCCGTACAAGATGCACATATGTCAACAAGTGACTGATCAATTGCAGTCCTAAACATCAATAGGAGAATACAAGCGAAACAATATCAAGTGAATTATTAATGTTTACCTGAATTGATGTCATGCACTTTTCAACGCCAACCAAACGTTGAACAAAAATTGTTTGATCAGCTCGAATATGATTTACAGTTTCATATATGCTAGTTTGTAACTAGAAAAGTTATTAAAGAAACAATAACAACAAAACAATTGAATAGCGAATAACATAGATGAAAACTGTGAAGAGTAAAAAACAATGTGTTTTATTTTAACGGTTGAATTTTTGAGTCGATGTAAGCTAGATTACCTATGAAAACCGATCCCGTACGTGAGACTCGAATCCAGAACCTTCAGTTTCGCACCAACGCTTGACCTCTATGACCATTAAACCGTCGTTCAGCGGTGCTAGTGTCTAACTTCAATTGATCCATGATCTTGGCTAACTATCCATCCATTGTCTTAGGTGGATATTTATCTCCACCATACACATATTGAACTCCACTGGTCATGGTTTCTCACTATAACTCCAGGAAGTCGATCTTTGAACTAGTCATTAGTGAATGAAACGGCCATCCAGTGATTTCAGGTTTTCAATGGTGGACTCATGAATTCAACTGTTAAAATTACTATAATCTATACAAATTCCCATTTTGATAATGTATTTTCTGTTTGCTGCCGTTCATAACATACATAGATATGAGTGATTGAAAAATTTCTGCTGACAATTCAGGTGATTGAACTGATACTTTTCTTCTGGAACCAACTTCTCGCATCTCAAATGAGTAGAAATCAAACGATACTAGTACTATAAATCAACTGATAGATTGTATAAGTGGAAGAATTGGAACAATTATTTCTGTTGTAATAGTCTATTAATTAATAGATGAAATAATTAAAACACTTATGTTAAGACCAATGCAGTTATTGTATATGTTGCAATTAGTTAGAATAAATCCACATCATATAGAATATGATTTGGCGCTAGGTGATTGGAAGTAGTCAATAGAAAAACTTGGAGAATCAGGTTCTTAACTAGTCATTACTCGCTAATAAGAGGTATCTATAATCTTGAGGGGACTGACTGATATGCTGCAACTAAGATATTCTAGCCTCTACTAACCCCCTATAAACAGTGCCTATATAATGTAGTTTATGTTGAAATGTATTATCATATTTGTAAACAATTTTCAAATCAAGCTTATGTGTATGGACAACAAATTGAAAATAAATGAGTAACAAACAATCATAGTGAGACTATAATTTATAGACGAATCAATCAGACTCAAGATGACAGATCTCGGATTTTGGCGCGAAATTCACTCATCCATTTGGCTAAATAGCGTTTTGACATTATAGCTGATATCGGTTCGTGATGAAAAACCCCAAATCGAATTCCTAGCCTTAACCGTCAACTATAAATCAAACTGCTTTATGACCTTTACCTAGCCTCAGTAAGTAGGTAGACACTCTCAAGGTCACTTCAGCGTCACTCAAAGGTCATCCATAAATTGTAATCTCATCACAATTCATGATCATTATAAGTGAACATTTGCTTACTTTAGCTAAATCCACCATAGAATTAGCATCTTCTTTCAGTTTACGTTGATTATCTTTTGCTTTTCTTAATCTATTTAAATAAATTATAAAGTTTACAGTAAATGTATTTGATAAACAATAATCTGAAATAAATAGTTCAATAGCTAGTCTAGACTTGAAGTTGAACATATTTATATTAATGTATAAAACTATGATTGAAAAAGTAAGGTTGAGGCTATGCTATCATCTGGTTAGCGTTTTTTTAGCGAGTTCGTTTTCTACGGGATGGGGTCGCTAACCGCACCCAACCCTCCTCCTTTATCTGGTTTGGGACTGACAGTAGCCCTAGAGGGGCTGCAGACTCCAGCATGCATCAATCAAATCACACTTGACGGAGAAGATTTGGAAGATGTAAAAACCTTTATATATCTAAGCAGCATCATTGATGAACACGGTGGATCTGATACAGATGTGAGGGAGCAAATCGGAAAAGCAAGATCAGCATATTTACAACTGAGGAACATCTGGAACTCAAAACAACTGTCAACTAACACCAAGGTCAGGACTTTCAATACAAATATCAAGACAGTTCTACTGTATGGGGTGGAAACTTGGAGAACTACGAAAGCCATCAACCAGAAGATACAAGTGTTTATTAATAGTTGTATACATAAAATATTTCGAATCCGTTGGCCAGACACTATCAGTAACAACCTACTATGGGAGAGAACAAACCAGATTCCAGAGTAGGAAGAAATAAGGAGAATGTGCTGGAAGTGGATATGACATACATTGGGGGAAAGCACTCAACTTGCCACAAAGCAAGCTCCCCATTAAAATCCTCAAGGTCAAATGAGAAAAGGATGATCAAAGAACACATTACTTTGTGAAATGGAGACAGATATAAGGAGAATGAACTACAACTGGATAGAACTAGAAACGAAGGCACAGAACAGAGTGGGTTGGATTATAACAGGTTAGGTTATAACTAAACAGATACAAAATAGAAGAGATTTTTTAGTCAAAATTGAAGCTTAACGGTTGTCTTAAACGTTTTCATGAATGTCTCTAAAATGTTTGATACATTTTAAAGCAACAGTTTTCTTCAATGAGTTATCTCCATAATGAGCCTTCAGTATTGAATGAATTTCTTGTTAGTTTAGCTGTTATATCCATATGTTAAGTTATGGGTAACTTTCTGGAACTATTTATAGACTGTTATTACATATAAATATTCTTATTGGATAACTATTGCGTAACTATATTATATGTACATTCATATTCCTTGTATTATAAGCTTCCATTTGACCTGTTAACTATTATTGTACGATTTACTATTCTCAAGTTATTCCCAACGCATTAGTTACAACCTCCTATACCCACATCCGCTTTGGGCTTGATCTGGTATAATTGTTTTATTGTTTCATGGTGTGTTGGGTCTGGTTTGCTTGTATATGGTATAAACCATGTATATCTGAAATACAGTGGAGGCTGAGGTTGCTTTCTGGACTCAACAAACAAATCTATGCAAGAAGGACTAATAAGGACTGGGAGTTGATTCGGGATTGCTCGTGCTAGTTAACGCGTCATTGGTTCGGTACAGTGTCAGGGTCTTATAAGTTGGTGATCCGATTGACAATCTTGTCATGTAATAATTAACAGGGCAAAAGTCATAATATTAGTTGTGTTCATCACTAACAATTTAAATGACTAATCTTCTGATGTAAAAAATAGAGTTATTCTTAAACACTACTTTTCTTTCAATTAGTACTTGGTAGTTGGTTAGAGAATGACGAGTTTATCACGTGGTTGTCATTGCTTGACTGAATTAAAATACAATCTTATAGTTAACGTTACCCGTTAGCCAAATAGACAGAGAGTTTTAGATTGTGTAGATAGGTCCCGGGTTTAAGTTTTATTGTAAACAATAATACTAGGATATAGGTAAATATAACTGACGAGACCTAGTTAAGACGAAATACGAGGATCTGAATTCCACTGCTAACTATATTTCAAAAATGTAGTCAAACTTGTAACTGTAGGCAAATTTTAGACATTCATTCAAGGTGTACATATATATCAACAGAACCTAAATGAAACATAATCTCAAATATCATGACAAGTGGAAACTATACAAAACATTAATTGTGATCACAAATTGATTAAACTATCATGTTTAGAATTCATTGTACTTCATAAAAGTAACTAATCTATGAACAGGTCTAATCTTATGGGATGATTAGCCAACAGAGTTTATCTTCCACATAATTTCTAACATGATTCCGAGCAGAGAACAAGAACGCAATTTGAGGGAAACCAAATATATTTGGACGCAACCATACAGAACAACTTAGAAAAATCTGAGAATCATGTGGTAAATACTTCATTTGTAAAATGCCAATCAATCGTATCCGATTTCATTGTTCGTTTGTTTCCACATCCATCATTCACTGTTCTCATTCTCTTTTCTTTGATCTTCTTCATCTTCTATCACTAGACTTTTACACTTTTGATTAATGATATATACTACTTATATCAGTCGATATCAGTAGTATACATCACAACATTTAAAGATAATCAATAGATAAACTGTTTATTGGTTGTTGTTCTTTTATTTAGTTTTTAATAACTTACCTACTTATTGCTGTTAAAAATTTTCTTTGATGCCTTCTTACTCGACCTGGTTTAACGCGTTTCACAAGTCTTGTATATTTGTAAAATAGCCAAGTTTCACGTAAAACATTAGCAGCTGAATGTCGAAGCTAATTAAATAATTAATAATTGTAATAAATAATAAAATAAAGGAGCTAGATAATAGGAGGAAGAAATAGGAATGTTTTGAAAGTATTCTATTATTCCTTTGAAAATAGATCATGGATTCATGAAAGAATCTTTTTAGTTTTGTATCATCTGACCGCTATATAGTAACCAATGTACATACTAACTTACTTACATACTGTTACCCTTCGTCCAGGTGCATAGGCTAACCACAAGTATTCTCCATTCAACACTGTCTCGGACAATCCTTCCTAGTCACTATTCATCCTTTTCATGTCCTCTTTCAATTCTCAGCGCAGTGTGTCCTTCAGCTTTTCTTTTTTCCATATGCCTTCTGGATTCCGAATCGGCGCTTGCCTCGTGATGCAGTTTGGTGATTTCCGAAATGTATGTCCAATCCACTTCCAATTTCTTTTCCTAATTTCTCCTTCAGCTGGAGCTCGTTTGTCTTCTACCACATTAGGTTGTTGCTGATGGTATCCGACCAACTAACATTGAGTATCTTGTGCAGACAATTGTTTATAAATACTTGTACATGTTTGATGATGATTGTGGTAGTTCTTCGCGTTTCAACTCCTTACAGTAGAACTGTCTTGACTTTCGCATTGAAGGTTCCGACTTTGATGCTGGTTGACAGTTGCTTTGAGTTCCATATGTTCTTCAATTGTAGGAATGTGGCCCTAGCTTTGTCAATCATTGCTTTTATATCTGCATCAGATCCCCCTTATTCGTCGATTATTCCGTCCAGATGCGTGAAATTTTCTAGATCTTCCAAAGTTTCTCTATCTACTGTGATTGGATTGGTGTTCTTGGTGTTGTATTTGAGGATCTTGCTACACTAGTTGTCTCCATCTGCATTGGTTGGTGTATATGGGATAGAAGAGCTAGGCCATCTGTGAAGTCCAAATCTAGTAATTAATATCTATATATTACTAATATTTTGAAATCTACTTACATAAGCATTCATACTTAGTGATCACTGAGTTGTAAGAAAATCCGTTACTAATTAATCTCATTTGGAATACCTTTAAAAACGAATGAGAAATCGATAGCTATTTTAGACAATCACGATCTTTCTAGGGATTACACTTTGATACTGTGGGTTCATGTATAAAACACAGCTGAGAATCTCCATACTCAGATGACACATTTAATGATGTAAGCAATCAATTTCAACAATTGTCTATGCAAATAGTCAAAGAAATGAGTTAATCTATGATTGTGGAAGAAAGTGTTACTATGGATGAGTAGTTAACTCATTTTACTTTAACATCGTTAACACATACTACTATCTGGCTGACAGAGTAGTATCATTCATCGTTATATATAACACATTTAAACTTGAAGCTGAATACATAAACTGTAGAAATAATGATATAAACCATGAATCCAAGGATGTATACATCTACTTATGAACGTACATTTTTGTAGAATTTATTATCTTGCATAAAATTGTGTACATGTTTCTCAGCTCTGGTTAATTCTAGCTTACGTGCAACCACTGCAACAACCAATGCTGTACATGCAGATCCCTGTAGAAATATTAAAACAAAACAAGAAAGAGATGAAATAATTAGTAAACAAGTTGTAATTAACAATATGAATGATGGTTATTTAATAGCTGAATACTATATATTAGCCAAAACGTTATCAAGAATTCAACAGTAGACAATCGATTTTAAATATTTAATTCTTTAATGATAATAACATATGGTTTACTGAAATACCTACTGAAATCACAATTGATTGATCACTGGGTGGTGATCAATGTTATGCGTGTCTAGTCCTTATTAGTGCACATCTAATGCTATCGACCATGTTGATCACCACCCAGTGATCAATCAATTGTGATTACATCTCAATCCTAGAGGAGATCGGTCGCGGCTCGGATAGCTCAGTGGTAACGTCTCTGACTGTGAAGCTGGGTGACATGAGGCCGAATCCGCCAGGGAGCACCAGTTTCCTCAAGATTACAGGTACACCTTGCTGACGAGTGCCAAGTGGCATGAAACCCGGGTCTAGGGTTTCCTGTTGACTACCTCCAACCACCATCTTACCTACTGAAATAGATAACCTGAAATCTTGAAGGAAGAAAAGGAAAAAAGAGAGGAAAACCAAGGAACACATTTTATCGGGAATTGCAAGCAAATATTTAAAGAATGAATAGAACACTGGTAATAACTTGAAAAGATTTCTCAATAACAGAGTTCAATGGAGAATGCTAATGGGTGGTCTATGCTTCTCGATGAGAGGTAACAGGCGTGAAGTGTAGTAAGATTCATAGCACTCTTTAGCCCGAACTTTTACATACGTAACACATAACAAGTAGGTTAAATTGATTCTATTTGGTTGAAGAGAAGTTATTTTTTATCGGTTAATTTGTTGTCTTGATAACGTTCAGTTGACTAGTGAATAATATTTCCATTAAGCTCACAAACTGATTGGTGTTAGGCGACCACTGAAAACCGGATAGCACTGGACGGCCGTTTTGTCTCAACATGGGACTCCTCAACAATACGCATCTACGATTCCACCCACGGGACTCGAGCCTTAGACCTCGAGTCTCACGCATCAACGCTTAACCTCGGAACCACTGAGTCAGTATCCAACAATTTAAATGTTCATACTGGTGACTAGTGAATAAACATATATATATATATATATATATATATATATATATATATATATATATATATATATATATATATATATATATATATATGATAAAGCATACAAATAATATTTCTTGTGGTCGGTATAAACGTATTTCACACATACACGTCCTCTCTCTCTTTATGTCAATATATCTTGGTTGGACAATTGTAAATTGTAGTCACATTATACACATAGAGGCTTGCCAGTAATTTTACAAATCGTAAAAGGAAATTAATCAACTAAACTAATTCACAGAATGTGGTGATGTATCTGACAAATTCTTATTGGATTATTGACCATTTATCAGGAGGGAGTTTTGTGAAGATTTTAGTAACTTAATAGTTGAATTCATGAATTAATTAAAGCTAGACCACAATGGAAAACCTGGAAGCACTGGATGGCCACTCCATCTTAGTATGGGACTCCTCAGCATTGGTCTAAAGGCTAAGCGTTCCCGCACGAGACTGATAGATCTTGCGTTCGAAACTTGTGAGGCGGGATAGTGAATGCGCACTGTTAAGGAGTCCCATGCTAGGACGAAACAGTTGTCCAGTGCTTCCAGGTTTTTCATGGTGGTCTATCTTCAATTGGCTTATGAATTCAATTATTATCTTTTAGATAGTATAATGTTTATTTATAGTTTCTATTTAGATCGTATCTTTGATTCCTAATCTTTTTTGTTACAATTAACACTATTACTATCATTGCTACTATGAAATTTACCCGAAAAGTTTCATCTTACTGTTTCAAGCCAGTATGGAAACTTGAATCGATGTAAACATGTGCTTAACCAGTTGAGTGACTGACTGATTATCCTGTTGGAAATCTACATCATTATTTATGTTATGATGGTGTTTTAGTCAAAAAAATTATAAGAAGAACTTACCATAACACCAGCTAATACTGATATTGCTCTGCCACAATTTGTATTTGGCACCATATCACCATAGCCAATACTTAAAAATGTAACAGCAATTAACCACATTGAATTCAAAAGTTTCTCATATTCTTTATTTTGTTCTCTGTTATAAAAGAATAATGAAAAGTCCAAAGGTAAAACCGATTTGAATGGATAAATATCTTTCTTACAACCGTTGATACAATCATCCTTTCTACTCCATTGGTATATTTATCTATCATGATAATTCTCAACATTATCTCAATACGGTATGGAAACTTGAACTTATACATATATCTACCAAGATTTATGTATGTCTATGATCAACTGAATTAATACTATTGGTCTTAGAGCTGAACATCATAATCAAATAAGGCCATATAACGGTAGATTGGTGTTTTTCAAATATTTTACGATAGAATTTATTTTCAGAATAATAGTTTTTGGAGATCGTTGTGACACTTTATTAATTGAAATTATGAGTTGATTGAAGCTAGATTAGTATTGAAAACCTTGAAGCATTGGATGATCGTTTCGTCCTCGTATAAGACTCCTCAGCAGCGCAGATACATGATCCCCTGTCAGTTGCTCAGCTGACACTGTCTGAAGACAATATGAGACGGTCGCGCAATATCGTGGGTTAATTGAAGTTAGACACTAACACTGCTGGATGTCGGCTCACTGGTCTAGAGGTTAAGTGTCCGCTCACGAGATCGAAGGTCCTGGGTCCAAGTCCTTTATATGCTGGATTGTGAATGCGCACTACCAAGGAGACCTATACTAGGACGAGACATTTGTCTAGTACATCTAGATGTTTAATACTTCACATCATACTTTTAATGCACAAAACTATTATATTTAGTACAGGAATAGGAAATAATTATCGTAATTCAGAAAAAAATCAAATGGAATACACACATATATAAATTAAACAATGGTGGAAGCTTTGAAAAATTAACCAATGGTGAGTAATATCGCAATGTTCATACGTAATTAGTAGTATAAAAATAAGTCATATGACGATCATACTGAATCAAAATGACTGGGATTTAAGAGTAAATGTGATTTATTACACTTCTGGTGCAGTTTTGTTCTCTGAGCTGGATGGTTTGGTCGTGGAGCTTTCATCGTCCTTCTGAACGACATCATCAGCAAAAACTTCAAAAGTCTTCTGTCTAATTTTGTTCAGAAAAACGATGAAAGCTTCACGATCAAACCATCCAGCTCAGAGAACAAAACTCCACCAAAATCATCCACCTGAGATACAAATCTTCTCCACCATCTCTTATTACACTTTACTAGTCCATAAAGCTAAATGACATTCATACGAATAACTAATATGAGAGAATATATAGCAGCTCATATGCAATTGAGTTTGTTCACATTTAATTTGGTTAAACCGTTTTGTTAACTTATTTAACTGATAGAGTTATCAGTACAATAACAACTTACTTCCTCTAAATAGTCAAATTAGGTCATCTTCTCAGCATCAGTCGAGCGGCAACGCCACTACAACGACACCAATCCAACGACCTCACTAAACCATTCAATCGGTAGTAGCGACGGGCGGTGTTCATTTTAATCATGTTAATTAACTCGACTCGATGACTCGATCGCTTACTCGCTCATTTGACTCACACGCTCACTCGCTTGCCTGTTTTATTTTCGGCACTATTCTTTCATGCTTGCTTAACGTACTTGTAAATTGGGATATCTGTGTGTGGTGCAATAATAAATTTAATCAACACTTCGTATTCGCCTTCTGATTAATACACCATTGGGGTTATCAAGACGAACTATGTACGAAGTTTAAGGATTATATTGAATACCGACCACCAAAAACATATATCAAGTTGTTGTGCAGATCTAGGATCAGGAGATGATAAGTTACACAAGATTTTATTATCTCGCTATCATAAGTGTTACATTTAGTAAATATCACCTATGAGTTTCAGTATCAAGTTGGTAACTATGGAAAAACATTAACTCGGTTAAGTATCATCTATCTATAAAAAAATTATATATAGAATAGGGATTTACCAAGATTGTAATAATTTCAATAGTTGAATTCATGGGTCAATCACCAATGAAAATCTGGAAGTACTGAATGACTGTTTCATCTTAGTATAGGACTCTCCAAAAGTGCGTATACTTGATCACGTATACAGAACCTTCAGTTTTGAACACATATATGGCCGTCCAACGCGTCCAAATTTTCAATGGTGGTCTACTTTAGATCGACTCATGAATCCAACTATTAAAATTTATCAGTTTAGTGGTTGTGGAGATTGTTAAACTTTTGATTGAAATCATGAACCGAGTGATGTTAGACCACCATGAAAAACCTGGAGGCACTGGACGGCCGTTTCGTCCTATTGTGGGACTCCTCAGCAGTGCCTGTCTACAATCCCGATCGCGGGATTCGAAACCAGGGCCTTCATTCTCGCGCGCGAAATTTATATAATTTTATTTCTAAACGTTAAAAATACCCCAAATTTACAGTCAACCAGAAACGAAATAGTTTAATAAAAGCAAAAATTTCATTCTTGTTCATTCCATTATCTCAATTAACAGAATACTAAGCATTAGAAAACAATTGAATCTCAATATGTTTGGAATAAATATTTTTCAAAATAACACAGCCTACTCATAAGTAGTTCAAGTAAACACTTAAAAATTAAGTTAAAAATGACCATAAATAAATGACTTTTGCTCGGGAGCATAACTAACGTTTTACTAGCATAAAACTATCCTTATTTTTAACCAAGTGTATCATGTAATTAAGCTTGAATTCTGCTAAATCTTAGTTACAATTTTGAATCTAGCCATAGATTTTGAGCACAGATATTAAGTTTATCGATCAAGGTTGTTAATTTTAATTTGTTAATTTTGTTAAAAATATTCAATTTTTAACCACTTTAGAAAGTTAAAACAATAATCTAAATAACAACAAACTGGAAGATTAAAGTAGACTTGGATTTATCGGAGAAAACGTGGTAATTGAGCGGCTACAATAAATTGAACTACTAAGAAGTTTCTTTATTTGTGATTGTGGTAATCAAATGATATGTGGACCTTAGGAAGACTACCGCGATGATGTTATCTTTCAATGTAATGTGTTGGAGAAAAAGGTCTTCTAGAACAGAAACTTTTTTTAGCTCGATCTGTATTGGGAATAAGGCAAATTATGGCAGTTGTTGCGAACTGGATAATAAAAGTAATAGTAACACTGGATGCAGCCGGGTACTTCAATATATACGGATGATTGAAGAGCGTACAGATGCCAACATAAACTTTGTTATGTGAATCATGTCATTATACACAAGCGCAATTTTGTAGACACTACAACCGGAGTGCCTACAAACAATATTAAAGGTATCTGGTCGAGGTTGAAAGAGTTTTTGCAACCTTATCATGACTCCAGAGGCCGTTTATTATGGAGCTATACTGATGATTTCTTCCACGTTATGCATTCCGATTTTAGAATCTCTAAACCTCTTTCTAACCTTGACAAGTTTTTGAACCATGTAAAACAGGTGTATCCTTTTTAATTCTTTGTTTTTGCAATATATATTTAAATTCCATACCAACTGTCATTTAAGATTCTCAGAAGGGGTTTTGTGGATATTTTAAAAACTTCACTGATTGAATTCATGAGTCAATTGAAGCTAGACCACCGTGGAAAACCTGGAAGCACTGAACGGCCGTATCTTCGTCCTATTGTGGGACTCCTCAAAAGGGCGCATCCACCTCTCGAGATTCGAATCCAGGACCTATCAGTTTCGCGCCAAGTGCTTAACTAACTAGACAACTGAGTCGGATTGGTTGAAGTTAGACATTAATATTGTTGGATGTCGGCCGGCTCAGTGGTCTAGTTGGTTAAACGCCTGGTGCGAAACTGATAGGTCCTGGGTTGGGATCTCGCGAGGCGGGATAGTGGATGCGCACTACTGAGGAGTACAGTACTAGGACGAAACGGTCGTCCAGTGCCTTCAGGTTTTCCATGGTGGTCTAGCTTCAACTGACACATGATTTCAATCATTTCAGATTCGAAGGTCTCCATATCCAATTAGTGTGCTAGCTTGATATTTTGTTGTTATAACATTAACTACTTATAAGTAGTCAAATTTATAAATTGTAAGAAATTGACTTTACCTTTCACATACACGCATAATCCAACTTGTTACAATCCACATAGATAATATAAATATTAATAACATAGTACCGGGACATACTGTAGCTAATGTTTTTAATACAAATCTAACATTAATTTTCACACGATTTAATGCACCGATACTACGTGAACCAGCATCAGTAAACATTGTTGAATGTAATAATAATACACGAAATATTAAATATAATCTTAAAAACATTGGAATTGAAAAAGTCAATTCTAAAATAATCATAGGTACAGGTTTATCATCATAATGTATATCATCATGATGATCATTTATAAATGGTACACTTGGAAATGGTATGTAATCATTTAATCTTTGTGTATGATTATCTAATATGGAATCATAGATTGATGTAGTTATTGGTCTACTATAATATGAATTCATTGGAATACTTGATGATGATAATGATGATGATGATGAGGATGAGGAGGATAAGCGTTCTTGATCATTCAAAACATCATCAAATTGTTTAAAACTTTTTAATGTTGATGCAGTATAATATGAATTTCTATATGAATATATATTGTAATTAGAGAGAATTGGTGGAGGATGTACAAGACATATAAATACTTCAATTAATGTTAATGAAATTTTTCTACAATTCATTGCTATACGCCAATCTTCAATACAATTATTAATACAAAATAACTACAATAAGAAAGAGAAAAGAGAAAAAGAGAATACTTTAACGATAAATTAAGAAGAAAAAGTGTTAAATGATTGTATACAGGGAGGTTGATTATGAATACACTGGTCTTGAATGCTGTTAGAGGTATGAAGACGGTTATCACTTCCCGGTTGCCCACAGCAAGGAAGGGTTCTTCTGGAGGTAACTGAAAAGGAAATTGGATTAGAGGTGGTCTTAGTGATTTGAGAGCGTGACCACAGTGCCCAGGGTACAACTGCTTGAGGCCGGTCAAACACGACCATTTTATGAGTTATTTTTGTGTTAGCTCCGTACTTGTTGAGACCTTACCACCGGAGACGGATATCCGTGGGATAAGGTGAGGTGTGCATTTTTAGGGTCGACCTATTCTAACCCCACTCCTCCTTGTGGGAAGGCAGCATCTCTGTCATGCTGGTTGTCTGAAGGAAACAACTTACTGCTGTCACACCTCTGTACAGTCAGTAGTACGACTTCGCCTTCGGACCTTGGGTTTGTTGCTTTTAGTCTTACCGCTCTTCAACCAACCTGTCTGACATGGTAGGACCTTGAGGAACGGTTGTTCCGGCCAGTATAGCTCAGCTGCTTCATCACGATAGGCAAGCTCGACCACCACGTCAAGGTAGAAACAACGGTATATTAGAATACGATATAGTCATTAGTTCATCAGTAATAGTGTGGTGTGATCTACTTATATCCGCACAAGTAGTATATTACGATGATCAGGAATAGAATGTATTTCAGTAGAAGATCGAGAAGGAAACAACAGGAACGTAAAGCAATTGGTATGCAAATGTACGAACGATGAAATCTGTGTTGACGGACTGAGATTTGCACGAAGGAATAGTCAAGTTTGAGACAATCGATTGATATTTTGCAAATTAACTATTTACTTTATGGTCCTCAAATCTTAATGAGATATTTTGTAATTTCGTGTTCGAATACATTCCAATGCCTCCATTCGTGTTCTTATTTACTACAATAGCAGTGAATGTATTGTTCAACGATTCATTCTGAATAATTTTAACCATATAAAATATAATTACTGAAGGCTAAAGATATGTTTAAGTGACATGCATTTCATCGTGAAAGCCTTTGAAGTGTCTCTAGTATATAGTAGAACCATCAAAGAAGATTGTAGTAACCAGTCCAATAAATGTTCACCCTTGAATTAATTTCTGAAGGAATAATAATAGTTAACATAGACATTAGTTGATTAGAAGACTGAGAGGAACTATTCGACTAGGTTGTATCGAAAGATATAGATTTCTTAGTTTGGATTTATAAGATAGTCATCATTTTCAGTTGAAGACCTCATGTGATGTAACTCACATTAGATAAAGTGAATATATATTCAGTCTTTATTTTTACCCAAAAAAATTAGATCATCGTAACTATTGGGCTTTGTTTGTTCGTATTGAAGTTCCGTTGTTTGACTCTCTCAATTGGATTGTAGTTGTATTAGAAGACTAGAGGGGTGGGCGGGGGAGTATAACAATTTGAAATACCAATTCTTAATGATTGCAAATAATTATAACTTTTAATGGTTAGTAACAAAATCATTTATTCATTTTTAATCTCAATGACTATTAGAATGGTTATATGGATAATGTTATAAGTTCCGATTATATTCATCTTCATTATATCAACCATAATTCATCTACATCTACATCCTACTCAGTACTATTCATTACCTTTAAAACTCCACCTGAAGCCCTTCTGGCGCTACTGCCGGTCCAAAGTCCAGATGAAGGAGAGGGAGGAGGAGCATCGGTAGCTCACCAGCAAGTTTAATTATTATTATTAATAAAGAATTACAACAAATTTCATGTTCCAAGTTTTCATTCTGTTTATAATTAACCGATTAACGTTTAGCAACTTAATGGTTTAGAATAATTGACTCATAGACATTTAATATAATTCACTAAATACTTAGGTTATAGTGTAGTGAACGAGAACACAAGTGAGGGAAAATCGAATGTATTTGAACATGAAATCATAGAACATTGTAATAAGATCTGAGTATCATGCAGTAATTCCTTTATTTGCAAAGTGTCAATCAATCGTTTCAAAACTTCACTATTCTTTCATTTCAATATCAATTATTCTTTGTTCTCGTTCTATTTTTCTTCGACATTCTTAACCCTCCCAGTTCGAGAATTTTACTTTCTATTGATGTTACATATTACTCATATCTGTCGATATCAGTAGCACACACAATAAAAGGTTACCTAACTGATTTATAAACTTTCGTAAATATACAATTTTTGAACAAATTTCATAAGTGAAAATAATCTATTCACAGAAAGTAAAGCATATTAACACTAGGGATCATGAAGTTCCAGGAGTTCTGATACTACTCAACACTGTATCATTAGTTAGCAGTGTACATCCTTACAGTATGGTTCTTAGATTTTACTAAGAGATTCTGTAATTTTGGTGTTTGTATACATTTGATTTTCCCCACACAAGCACATAATGACGAGTGCCAAGTAGCACGATACCCGGGTTCAGGGTTTCCTGTTGACTACCTCCAACCACCATCTAATCTCAATATATAGTGCCCGCAGTGTCGAGTCACCTAGACTGGTGGTCACATTTCAACATGATCGATAGCATTCAATTTGCACTAGATAAGGACTAGACACACATGACATTGATCACCACCCAGTGATCAATCAATTGTGGTGATTCCGTTATTCACTAACGCGATCTAAGTCGATGATCGTATACGAGGATTGGCGGAATGTATCTTTCAATAACAATTCATCATACGATCTAATTGAAGTCAGATCTTGAGCCGCCAATATATACATATGTATTTATAAGAGTATCAAATTCAATACAAAATAAAAATCGACCTACTTGTACATCAACAGCATGATAGACTAGTGTAAGACCAACTAGAATAAGTGTTGATGCACTGATCAATGATTTAACCAATATGGAATAGATTGATGTCTACATGAAAGAAAAATAAAACAGAATAAATAAGAATATAAATCTATATATATTTTTTATAATGTAAGTTTCTATTACAACTCCGCCTGGAGTCCCTCCGGAGGCTACTGTCGGTTCCAATCCCGGATAAAGGAGGTGGATTAGGCATGGGGTTAGCGACCCCATCCCGTAGAAAACTAACTTGCTAAGAAAACGCTAACCAGAAAAAGTTTCTATTACGTAATCTATTCAATGTTGATGTTATATCCTGGTGAAGATTAAACTACAAGTAACTTCTGAGACCTATTAATGAACTAATATTCTCTCTATATATTCTTATGGTATAACTAAACAGTAATTAGATTGTGTATATCTATATTCTTCTTCTTATAAACTTCATTTTGACCTATAGATTATTATTGTACAATTTACTGTTCTTAAGTTGCACCCAGTTTATTGATTATAGTCTCTCACGCTCATAGCCACTTTTTGGATTTATTATGTATGAATGTTATTTCCTATTTTATGGTGCAATGAGGTCTGTTTGTCTAATATTTAAACCAAATATGTTTGAAATATATGAATTGCATAGTAGAAGCTGGTATTGGTGTTCTGAACTCAATTGGACGAGTTAGGCGAACAAAAGGCTAACAAGTACACTAGGCTGATCAGACCGATCGAACATCATTGGTCATTTTTAGAATAATAAATTAGTAGGTGAATAATACGTTGATTAATTAATTCATGGCAAAGCAAGGATCGCATTTCTACAATTGAAGAACATATGGAACTCAAAATAAGTGTCTGTCAACCAATATCAAAGTCACAATCTTCAGTACCAACGTCAAAACAGTTGTACTATACTGAGCTGAAACTTGCAGAAATACTACAACCATCATCAAAAATGTGCAAGTATTTATAAACAATTGTCTACACAAGATACTCAATGTTCGTTGGTTGGATAGCATCAGCAACAACCTACTGTGGTAGAGGACAAACAGGCTTCCAGCTGAAGGGGAAATTAGGAAAGGAAGTTGGAAGTGGATTGGACATTTCGGAAATCACCAAACTGCATCACGAATCTAGCGATAATTTGGAATCCAGAAGGCAAATGGAAGAAAGGAAATCTGAAGAACAAATTGCACTGAGAATCGAAAGCGGGCATGAAAAGGATGGATTATAACTGGGAAGAGCTGGAAACGATTTCCCAGGACAGAGTTGGATGAAGAATACTGGTGGGTGGCCTATGCTCCTCCACGAGGGGTAACTGGTGTAAGTGAAGTAAGTACGTATTTAATTCATATCAAGGTGTGATACAAAGAACAACTTGAACGGATTTATAGATTAATGACTATTTCAAGTCCGTAATTTTAAGGTGAAACTATGATGTAATACATTAAACCAATTAAAGTATCTAGTTTATTGAAATGTATATTATAATTTATAATTAAAATCTAGCTATCAGTCATTTTGGATAATAATTAACGGGATAAGATGCTGATAGGAGTGATTTAGTTTACAATAGTATAAACTTGATTTCCAATCAGAATATCTTATTATACTATCTATTATATCTTGAAATAACTATGTAGTGTATGAACAAAAATGGATGGAATACAGGATGTGCGTTTCGTCCAACTTGAGACATATTAGCTGGATGTACGTGCATCTCAGAGTTGATATTCACACTGGAACTTGAACTCAGTAACGTTCTCTTCAAACGTCATCGCGTTATCCTCATTACTACTGAGTTTTAATACGCACTCACGTGTAGACGGGGAATGTTTACCTCTTCGTTGATATTTTAAATGAAATTAAATCATTTTTAGTTTCATTCTATGTAAGAGTTGACAAATACGCGTATATTAGTATTCAGCGAGATAAGTACTATAATCAAGTCTAAGGGTAGACAACGAGAACAACACTAGGGTACAGCTACATTCAGTTGATAAATCCTAAGTAAGATGGAACGTGTATTTTTCATCTAAAAACTAATCACTATCTAATGAAAATTAATATTTTTGATTGAAATCATGAGTCAACTGAAGGTAAACCACCATTAAAAACCTGGAAGCACTAGACGGCCGTTTCGTCGTAGTATGGTACTCCTCAGCAGCGCGCATCCACGATCCCGCACCCCTAGACTGGTAATTACCGTGTGCTCATTAGTGACTAGCTCCGTGAGAAAATTCTCAAAGTTCTGTTGAAAAGCCGTGACCAGTGGAGCTAATCCGTGTCAGGTAGAAACAGGTGTCTACTTCAGTACAATGGAAGATGGTGGTCTAGCTTCAATTGACTCATGATTTTAATCAAAAACTTAACAATCCCCACAACCCCTAAACTGAAAATTAATTTGTTCGACATGATGTCTATTCTACTGTTTACATCACTGGGTGACTATAACTATAGAACATTTCAAAACCAAGAGAGAGTGGAAAGTTGTTTTGTCTTAGTAAAGTATCCCTTGGCAATGCTTATCCTCAACTAACAGAGACAAAAAAACCAGTAAATGATTTACCTTCAGATTACTGAATTATAATATAAATGTTTGAATTTCTAACTTGAATCCTGTAGTGAAATTCGAAAACTATCAATGACTGCCCAGTTTTTGAGGGTTGCCTGTCTACAATTAATTCTTGATGTATATTATAAAATTCAATAATGTTTATAGAAGTTCTAAACTCATGATTTCAACCAGTGAATTTTCTAGAATCTTCACAAAACCCATTCTGATAATAATCACCTGCTCACTAGTGACTGACTTCAAGAGGCGTGTCCCGGAGTTCTAGTGAGAAGCCGTTACCAGTGGAATTCAACCAGATCTGTTGTGAGATAGGGACTCATTGAAGACAATGGTGTACGGTGGCACAACTTCGTGGATTGGTTGAAGTTAGACATTAATACTGTTGGATGTTGGCCGGCTCAGTAGTCTAGTTGGTTAAGCGCCCGGCGCGAGACCGATAGGTCCCGGGTTCGAGTCTCGCGGAGGCGAGATCGTGGATGCTCACTGTTGAGGGATCCCATACTAGGGCGAAACGGCCGTCCGGTGTTTTCAGGTTTCCCAAGGTGGTTTAGCTTCAATTGACTCATGATTTCAACCAGTAAAGAAATATGCCAATTTGACTAATTTTATAAGCTTAATGAAAAGATTCAATACCTTACTTTATTCTTATAATATAATAATACATACCCTTAAATATACTTTAGCCATAATCATTTCTAATTCAAATACCATTAATAGAATACCCATAACAGCAAAAAATAATGAATAATCAGCTAATTTTCTACGTCTTTCATTAAATATTTTACGCCAATGTAACCGCCAACCAATTCCACGATTTGATGTTTTATAATTCATTGTTGGTTGAACTGAACCAAGTGGACCACTAGTACCATATAATGAACGTAAATCTTCTGCATTACGACGTATTTTAGCACGTATACCAATTGGTCTATTTGTTTCATCATCATCAGTATTATTATTATTATTCGTTTCAAATTTATCATTGCTATCATTTAATTGTTCAGATTGTAATGAAGATTTTTGACTATGGATCATTCGTTGTGATTCATTATCGATTAGTTTACGTAATTCTTCACTGTGCTGTTGTTGTTGTTGTTGTTGTTGACGATACTGTGTTGATTGTTCAATAGAATGTGTTTCATGTAAATGATCATCTTTTCTATTGAATTGTTCTAATTGATCTAATTCACAGATTGGATCTATTGAATTATATGAATGATTATCATTCTTTTCATTTGTATTCAATATTGGTGAGATAGCAATTTTTGCTGTATTTCTAATAATTGCTTGTTTAATACGATGAGGTATTAAATGATGATCAGTTTTGTTACTATTACTACTACTACTATTATTATTTTGAGTAGTATTAGTAGTAGTAGTAGTGGTAGTAGTAGTATTAGTGATGGTAGGAATATTACTTCCATCATGATTAGGTCGATAAGTACTATTACTGTGAACAAGACTATCAGTTTCATGAATTGAATAATGGGCTTTCTGTCGATGAGTAACGTTTTGATGATGGGTAGAACTGGTTACTAAAACAGAAAAAAAAACACAACAAAAACAAAGCAAATAGGAATGAGTTAAATCGCTAGCAAATAATAAAAGAAAGAAAATTTCGCAAAAATTCTATTGATCTAACTTGTATCAATCGAATTACACCTGACGGAGAAGATTTGGAAGATGTAAAAACCTTTATATATCTGGGCAGTATCATTGATGAACACGGTGGATCTGATACAGATGTGAAGGAGCAAATCGGCAAAGCAAGATCAGCATATTTACAATTGAAGAATACCTGGAACTCAAAACAACTGTCAACTAACACCAAGGTTAGAATTTTCAATGCAAATATCAAGACAGTTCTACTGTATGGAGTGGAAACTTGGAAAACTACGAAAGCCATCATCCAGAAGATACAAGTGTTTATTAACAACTGTAGATGCAAAATACTTCGGATCCGTTAAACCAGACACTATCAGTAACAACCTACTATGGGAGAGAACAAACCAGATTCCAGAGGAGGAATAAATCATGAGAAAGTGCTGGAAGTGGATATGACATACATTGAGGAAAGCACTCAACTTGCCACAAAGCAAGCTCCTCATTGAAATCCTCAAGGTCAAACGAGAAAAGGATGATCAAAGAACACATTACTTTGTGAAATGGAGTCAGATATGAGGAGAATGCACTACAACTGGATAGAACTAGAAAGGAAGGCCCAGGACACGGTGTATTGGCGAATGGTGGTCGGCTCCATTGGCAGTAACCGGCCTAAGTATGTAAGACTCATACTGGGTTTTGTTGATGTCTTATTCGGTAAGTTATCTAGTTCTAGGTTTAAGAACAATTAATATGTTCACATAAATTATATTGACCAATTCATTAATTTAGTAATTTCACTGATTGAAATCATGAGTTAATTGAAGCTAGACCACCATGGGAAACCTGAAAGCACTGAACAGCCGTTTCGTCCTAGTATGGTACTCCTCAGCAGTGCGCACCAACGACCCCGCACCCCACGAGATTCGAACCCAGAAGCTATCAGTGTCGCGCCAGGCGTTTAACCAACTAGACCACTGAGCCGGTCGGCATCCAACGGTTTTAATCTCCACAAAACCCCTTCTGATAAGTAAATTACTGCAATTTTGTTATTGAGCAAATAAATCAGAATCAAGTTAGAGATTTAGTTATTTTGTGTCGAAAATTTAAAAACCAGCGCTACCTGGGGCGAGAATATAATTGATGAATGAACCAATCAGATTTACGATAACAAGTCTCGAATTTTGGCGCGAAACTAATTTATTCATTTCGTTGAAGAGTTTGACATTATAGCTTATTTCAGTTCGTAATGAAAAACTTATATCTAATTTCTAACCTTCCATCAGTTATTGATTTCCTGACTATTTATTTTTGAGTAGTGAATGGTCATCAAGACTTTCAGGGTCATTTCCAGACTTCCTTAATACAAATCCATTGTTTATAATTTCATAGTTCTTTTGATGAAGTCTTTTAGGAAAACAAATGCTTGATCAAGTAAAGTTGAGATCATTTATTTTCTACTCTAATCGAAGGTTCTGAATCTGAGTCTCACGTACAGGATTGTGAATACACACTGTTGGGGAGTCCCATACTGGGACGAAATGGCCGTTCAGTGATTCCAGATTTTCATTAGTAGTCTAACATTGATCCATTTGTGATATATCAACAGATGAAAATATCGGGATATCATGAGGGAAATAGTTGAGTATTTTACTTTCTATTGAAGTTAATTATCGTCATAAATTATTATTAACCTCGATGAAGCATTCCTTCAGTTCTCATTGATTTCGAATATTTACCTAATCAGTGTTTATATATTTTACTTATTTATATATTTAAACACATAAACATTGGTACAAGGAGGCACCAAGTAGATATGCGGCACATAAATCATTCGATTTCTGTGAGGGGTGGGATACTCCTCGAGTGCCCAAACTGAAGCAGGGAGCCACATCCGGAGCCTTTGACCAAGAGGTCTAGTCCACAAGGCAGTCCCATGCTAGCCTGTGACCGACACTTGGTTCATACGCCATTTGTTCTCTCAAGATCCTGGAGCCCATGTACACCATTGGTTTGGAATGAGGGTTTTTCAAATCTCCTAGGTGAACTCTCCATATCCACCAACCTGGTTTACGTTCCAAACATTCACTTTTCGTCCTCTTAATTTCGTAGACAACAGTCGTGTTGCGAGAAGTCAGTGAGTTCGACTTTCCCGATAGTGGTTGTATGCATGTAGCCATGTGAAAGCATTTGTAGAGGAAGATCTGATTCTCTCCACTCTCAGCCGTATCAAGACATTTAAGAGCTGGTGGAAGTACTGGGTTATGCATTTATAAACATATTCACAATCAACAAATTCATACTACTAGTAATTATTAAGAAAATAGTAGTATATATATATGTATATATATAAAGAGTATATTGTTAAACTTACTCAAATTCCTTTTTGATGGATTAAAAATTGATGTACTAAGCTCACGTAATGTAGATAATGTCATTCTATTCTTTTTACTACTATTAGTAGTATAATCATTGAACTTAAAAATTTCAGGATTCATTATAGACGATTTAGTATAATTATTATTAGTATGATTAGATTGTCGTAATTTCACTTGTATTCTATCTGATGTTTCTCTACTTAATGTACGTTTATCATATGGAGATTTTTTTGGTTTATGCGTACCTGATGCCCATGCTAATGCTAATGCACCAATATGAGCTTCACGTTCTAATAAATTATCGGATTTCATTTCATCTTCTTTTTCAAATGATGATTTTAAATTATCACTTAATCTATATTCCTTTAAATGATTATCATATTCATATAGATTATTATTACTATTACCATTACCATTACTATTACCAATTATAGAATTTTTATCATTCTTATCTCCATAGTCTATAATATGAGTATTGAATTGTTCATCTTGTTTCATTGAATCACTATAATGTCTTGGATATAAACAATGAATAGTTGATTTACGACGTATAATTATAGCATTATCTGGAATAATACTATTCTCATTTGGATGATGATGATGATGATGCATTAAAGAGGATTCAATACGATCATGATATTTATATCGATTAGTAATATGCTCTGTAGCAGTTCGTTTTAACTTGTATAAAGATTTATGCATCATCTCTGTTGTATCATTATGATTACTACTACTACTATTATTATTATTACTAGTAGTAGTAGTAGTAGTAGTCGTAGTGGTATTCGGGTCAGTATATTTCTGTTTAGGAAATTTTGGTCGTCTAAATTGATTATTTGATAAAATTGATGATCTTGATTGTTTTCTTACTTCAAATCTACGTATTTCATGATCTAATAAATCAGTTTTATGGATTATTACATTACTATTATTATCATTATTATTATCTAATTGTAAATGATAATGTTGTTCATTAGGATCATTGATACTAGAACTATTATCGATTAATGTATTGTTTATTGATTTTAATGAACAATCAAATTGTTCTTTGGATATTTGTAAATCATCAATTTGAATTAGTTGATTAGATGGAACATTCAATGTATTACTAGTAGTAGTCGTCGTCATAGTAGTAGTAGTAGTGGTAGAAGAAGAAGAGTTTGTTTCTGCCTCAATGGGTTTCAATGAATGTGGAAATACTTCAATGATTTGATGATAATGATTATTATTATTATTACTAATCTTAAAGTTATTATGATTGGTGCCAATATCTTCAAAACTTGAAATAACCGATTTCCAACTTCCACTTGTGGAATGTTTAAAATCATCTAAATTTTCTAAAAATTTTGTAGAACCAACTGATTGAAACATTTCAAAACTATCAGTTTCTGTACTTGGTTGATGATAATGTAATAAATATGAATAACGTTTAAATCCTCTTAAATCATAATCATCAAGTATATTATGTTGAGTTTTATAAATTGAATTGGAACATTCTGAATTAGATTTTATTGATTGTTCTGTTCTTTGTTCTTTTTCTTTTCCGTCTTTTTCTTTCTCTTCTTCTTCTTCTTCTTCGTCACCGTTGTCTTCGGGTTCTTTCAATTTTTCATCCATTTTAAATGATTATAAAGTTGAATATGAATTAGTTCTTGAAAGGGTATAAACATTTGTAAGTTTATGATACAATCAATTGGTTGATTCTAAAGGATTGAAGAAAGAGGTACATTAATTTAAAAAAGTATAAGTGTATTAGATAGTGGAACGTAGTTCATAACCCTACCATCACCCCCTCCTTGAATTTATATTACATGGTTGTGATATCCGAGCGAAGATGAAATCACGAGTAACTTCTGCTGAGACATATTAATGGACTAATATCATCTATATATTCTTATGGTATAACTATTCAATAATTAGGTTAGGTATATTTATATTTCTCTTATTATAAGCTCTATTTTGACCTATAATTTATTATTGTATGATTTACTGTTCTTAAGCTATGTTCAGTTTATTGACTACTGCCTCCCACGTTCACAGTCACTTTTTGGCTTTATTGTGTACAAATGTTATTTTATGGTGCGTTGCGATCTGTTTGTGTGATATATAAACCCAGTATGTCTGAAATAAATGATTCGATTGGATTCGCATAGTGGAAGCTGATATTAATGTTCTGGACTCAAGTGGACGGGCTAGGCGGACATAGGACCAATAAGGACGCTAGGCTGCTCATACCGGTCGAACGCCATTGGTTTGACACAGTGCTAAAATAGTATAAGTCATATTTAATTGATAGATAAATCACGTGATAAAAAGCCGAACATAAAGTCACGACAATGATAGTTGATATTTAGTAGGTAAACTCATTTGTACTCCGTAGGCTACTGATTTCTCCCTTGGAATTCTTATTTGTGAAGTATTTGAGCCAGAATCGATTTCGTGTGAAACTTTAATATTCACATTAATCAATACTTGTTTAATACCTCTAGTTAGTGATTAGTTAATTTAAAACATGTGACTTTTTCATAGGGAGATCCATCAATTTAACAGTAAAAAAAAAACTGTCATCAATGCTTCTGAATAATAGTTATGCTAATTTCATATTCTGAATGAAATCATACTGTTTGACTTCAACTTCATAGTTTCAACAGTTAAATATTCTTCACAAGATCTGGAAACTTTGGGTTTGATTACCAATGAACTAGCTTACTATTGAGGAGTTTCATACTAGAATGAAATAGTTGTTAAGTATTCATTGATTCTTAATGGTTGATAACCCGACTGACATAGATCCATTATGAATATCACCTATTATAAAATTCTTTATGAATTACTTGTTACTACATCTATGTGTAGACAAGCATGATTTCATCCGTTTTCGAACTGTACGTGAAACATTTCTGTTCTAACAGAAAGATGAATCGTCTAAGATATTAACAATAGTATTGTAGTGAACAAGAACACGGGTGGGGACAAACGGATGTGCGTGGCACAGCAATTACAGACTATCTCAATAAAATCCGAATACCATATAATAAGTTGTCAATTTGCAAAATATTAATGTATCAAATCAAACCAGACTGTTTGTGTTGCAAACACCAATCCATTGTCTCCCATTCCATTGTTCATAAATTTTCTTACAAATTCCATTATGTTCTCGCTCTACCTTTCTTGATCTTCGCCATTTTCCGCTGCCAGACATTACGTTCTTCTAACGCACGTTATATACTACTTATACCAATATAAGTAGCTCACACCACAGTATGATCTTGAATTTGCCCTATGTTAATATGTACGATCAATTTTTGATCAGTTCTTGTTGACAGATATACATTCTGTGTGGATTATATTGATAAAGATGTTACATCCTTCTGATAAGTCTCAAATAAGAAGAAATGATCGTTTTGGATTCTACTACTAGCTAAAGTTCATCTATTCTAAGTCTTTTGCAATAATTTGGATTATATATTGAGTTCAACTGAGAGTTGTAGAAATTTTGTTTTGTCCAAATATATCTACTCATAATTCCTTCTAGTTTCACATAGAACATGTTACTTTTTTAAGCTATTGAGTTAGAATTTCATGGCCTATATTTCTAATTTCAGGCATTTGAGACTAACCAGTGTCATATAAATACTCCCACATTATTTTGATAATATATATTATATAACAGAACACGAAAGGTAGTTAAGTTTAGATGTCCTAAATCCATTAATATCTGTCTGTTATTTATGATAAGCTAACCTGAATGAATACATGTTATTGTGATTGAGATCATGGACCGATTGATATTAGACCATCATGAAAAGTCTTAAAGCACTAGATTGCAGTTACGTTCTATTGTGGGACTCCTGAGCAGTGCGCATCCACGAACCCGCTAGCAGGACTCGAACCCAGGGCCTTCAGTCTCGCGCGTAAACTTTTAACTTCTAGAATACTGAGTCTGTTGTGAGATAGTAACTCACTGATGACAATGGTGGAGGTGACGCTCAATTTCATCGGTTACTTGAATTTAGACATTAACACCGTTGGATGCCGGCTGGCTCAGTGGTTTAATGGTTAAGCGGTCGCGCACGAGACTAATTGATCCTGTGTCAGAATCTTATGAGGCGGGATTGTAGATATGTACTGCTGAGGAACACCACAATAGGAAGAAACTGACATCCAATGATTCCAGGTTTTCTATGGTGATCTAGCTTCAATTGATTCATGATCTCAAGTATTATAAAATTATTGTAATATCCACACCCCCCCTCTAATACTAATAAGTAATTATTTCAATAATACACTAACAGAGTAAATCATCATACTTTTCTTGTAAAGAAGCAAATAAACAAACAAACAAGCAAACAAACTTGTATATTCACCTCAATTTTTTGAAAGTTTTACAATGAAAAGTATGTAATTCAATGAAATACATGACAACTTTTCTTTTCGTTTCTTTTCTTTTTTTTATTATTATTTCTTTCCGATTTTTTTCTACATTTGTACTATGAAATGATTCGATGTCTTAGTTACAAAAATGTATATTATGTCATAAATAGTCTTACAATTCAATAATGAACTAAACTAAATCAAGGTCATTTCGAAACGATGACTATAATTACATAATGAAATTTTACATTTGACATAGTTAACAAGCAAAAAAACAAAAAAAAACAGACAAGAAAAACGACATCAACAACAACAACAACAACAACAGCAACAATAATAAACCGAGTCAATATTCTCAAGGTGAATTGAACAGTTACAGTAAATGAGAAACACATGCACACACACACATGCACACAGAGAGAGGGGTGGGAGGGGGAGAAAGAGGAAATAAACCAACAACAAAAAATACAAAAATAATAATGAAACTATGTAACTAAATAAAGTGAAATGATATTTTTCCAAAAAAGAAACGAAGTTTTTACTTAAAACTATTGAAAATAGAATGAACCTTTAGTTAATGTTAAATGTTAAGATTCATTGTGTGTGAATCCCCCAAAAAAAGAGTGAAGAATTTGGATATTTTGTTACCATCCAGTATAAAATGGGAAGAAAAATCATGAAAGTACTTCTCGATGTTCTTTCTTTTTTCTTTTTTTTTTAAAGGAAAACTAATGATAATTCTTATTTAATCTTGGTAAAGTACAGTACAATTTTTAGTGAAAGAAAAATAGCGAGATTATAGATTATGGATAAATCAATTTTGGCGCGAAATTTATTCATCCATTTGGATAAATAGACATTTGACATTATAACTGATGTCATTTTATGATGCAAAACCCTAAATTTAATTCTGAACCCTTAAATGGAGTATAACAGAAGCTCCCTTGGAGGTAGTCTTTAACATCCAACTTTTGTCTAATGTGTTTCATTGATCCTAAACATCTCTAGGTTGTATCTTTTCATTTCTGCAGCAATTTGGAAAACTCTCTCGGTCTCCCACAATGTACGAGTATTTCATGAACCTAAATAAATGGTTGCTCTGGTTGTTAGAATGGGTATCGGCCTCGTGACTTCCGAAGGAACTCGGCTTTCATCATGAGACGTCATAACTCTTCTAAATGAATATCTGACTCCCAGGGCAGAGTTTAAAATGTTTGCATATTTTTTCCTGGTTAGCGTTTTTTTAGCGAGTTAGTTTTTTACGGGATGGAGTCGTTAACCCCATACCCAACCCTCCTCCTTTATCCGGGCTTGGGACCGGCAGTAGCCCCGGAGGGACTCCAAGCGGAGTTGAACCCTTAACCATCAACTGTAAATCATAATTCTAATTCATCACACAGGTTTATAACCATCATTTGGTCTTAGGTATTAGGTGGACACTCTCAAGGTCAGTCTAGCGTCACTCAAAGGTCGTCCATAAATTATAGTCTCACCAGTAGAATTTGTATATACTGGGAATAATGAAATCATGTTGATTAGTTCAATGTTTATTTTTAATCTCATTGGCTTAATAAATGTGTCAACGATACACCAGTTTAGATGGTGGTTGAAGGTATTCCACAGGAAACCCTGGACCCTATCTCCAACCACCATCTAATTTCAACATAGTGCACGCAATGTCAAGTCACTTAGACTAGTGGCCACATTGCAACTTGATCGATAGCATTCGATCTGCACTAGGAAGGACTTGACACAAATGATATTGATCATCACCCAGTGATCGATCAATTGTGATACATCAGTTTAAAATAACTAAAAATAAATAGAGATTATTATTATTATTATTATTATTATTATTATTATTATAGTGGAGATCAGTTCAGCATAAAAGTGATATTCATTATTAATTAACCCTGTGATTTGTGCTACCTTTATCGACATAGGTAGTATATAACGCTAGTTAGGATCAGAATGACTGGCAGCAGTTGTTCCGGAAGGAAAGAATGAGAACAGAAAGCAATTGGGTTGGAAATGAAGAAACAGTGAAGTTTGAGATGATTGATTTGCATTTTGCAAATGACGTATTTACCGTATTATTCTCAGATTTTACTAAGAGATTCTGTAATTTTGGCGTTCAGTTTCATTCGATTGTCCCCACTTGTGTTCTTGTTCACTACAACCTTACTTATGGTACTACAGTGAACGAGAACACAAGTGGAGACTATTAAATGTATCTAAACACC